GCTCCAGGCTCTGAGCTGTCAGCAAAGAGCCTGATGAGGGGCTCGAACCCACGAACCACGAGATCGGGACCTGAGCTGAAGTCAGATGCCCAACCGATGGAGCCACCCAGGCATCCCGTCCATCTGCCATTCTCAAGCCTCCTTGGGAGGCTCCCAGCAGAAGAGCTCTGGGAGAGCTCTTATTATGTTGTTACTCTCTTGTAGTTGATCAGAATCTTCTGTGTTGTTCGAGGCACCATGTTAAGTTCATGAATTAGTTCTCCTTTAAGTGCTTTGAAAACCCTGTTTTCATCACAATCCATGATTTTGGTCATGATTCTGACATTTGGGTGATAAACGCCAGCCTGATGGATAACTCCCTCCAGTACATCATCAGTACCAGCTGAAATTTGAACAAGGGATAGTATTGTTGGAGGTTATCAAAGACATTCTCGTATCCTTCCTGGAACATACATTAGATTCTGCTGCAATTTCTTTCAGCTGCTCTTGTTAGAGCTTGTACAATAAGCAAACCCTGTGATTGAGGGTACCATTCAACCATATAGGGGTACTTCTATGGTAGGAACAGATCAATTTTCGTAGCATAATCTTTTCCCTTTTGTTGCAGTAACTTTTTTGGAACTCCATCTGCCACCAGCTTATAAACGTCAATGATATTATGACATGGTGGGCATCTTTTCCCTTTTTAGGAAATAGGAAAATCTCCTTTGAGTCACATCTAAGTCTATTATTACCTGAAGGCTGGCAGGTCCTTCTTTGATAAGACCACAGATAATTTCTTCTCTTAGAAGGTTCTTAATGTGAACTGAACTCTTTTGGAATTCTGACCTCATTTTCACATACACAGCAGATTCCTGATTAGCTATTTCTTGGTTATTCAGTTGTCCTTAAAGGCACTCCGAGTTCTGTTCTTGAATTTGTCCTAGAACAGCATAGACAATATGCAACGTCCAGAGATGCAGGGCTTGGATACAGCCATCTCAGTGATCTGGGGCTGCTTCTGCCTCATGTTCCTCTTTAAGGTAAATATGTACTGGGTCAGCACCACCCCTGCCACCAGGACACAGACACGGGTGCTTGCTGCTATGTCCTCCCTGGCTGTGGCTGCCTGGTCTGCGGACAAGGTCTCACACACCTCCAGATGCAAAAAGAAAAAGCTGCACTCGGTGACCATGTTTTTCAATCCATTCCGCAAATCTCCTTCTGATCGGAGACTTCGGATTGGAGTGTTTCTTTTTTTCTTTTTCTTTTTTAAGTTTATTTATTTTGAGAATCCCAACCAGGCTTTGCACCATCAGCATGGAGTCCAGTGCAGGGCCCTATCTTACAAACTGTGAGATCATGACCTGAGCCGAAATCAAGACTCAGATGCCTAACCCGCTGAGCCACCCAGGAGCACCCTGATTGGAGTGTTTAATTACTGATAAAATAGATTTACACCTTCTACTTGCTGTTTGTTTTCTATGGGTCTCATGTCTTTTCTATTCCTCCATTCCTCAATTGTGTCTCTTCCATGTTACATAAATGTATTCTAGTGCACTGCTTTCATTCCCTTGTCTCTTTTACTGCATATGTTTTGGGTTATTTTCTTAGGGGGTCCATAGCAGTGTTCAGCATAGAGCTGGTTATTCTCCACTGCTGAGGCAACATCTTTTGGAGTACTCTCCCCTGAATTAGGAGGTTTTTTTTCCAAACTGGCTGATAGAAACAGGCACTGTTCCCAACCCCATGAGAGTCTGGGCACCGTTCCCTCCAGCCTTGCAGATGGCTCTTTTCCCAACCTTGGGGAGTTTCCTCACATCTTCATGCTGATCATTTCTGTACTGAATACCCAAAGGGAACCCTCTGCAGATCTCCTGAGTCCTCTCTAGGTGCATGTCTTTTCTTTCTGATCCTCTGTCCTGTGAGCCCTGGTTGCCTCTGTCTCCCTGAAGGTTCAGCTCTCTCCCCTCAACTCAGGGAGTCCCTCTCCTGACACGACAGCCTGGAAACTCTATGGAGGCACTGAGCTGAGCCAACAGTAAAGGTCACGTAGTTGGTCTGCCTGTCGTTCAGGGACTGCCAGCCTTCACCAGCTGGTATCCATTGTCTCTTATTTCCTTGTTGGTGCTTTTGGTTTTTGACTTTGGGTTATTACAGACAGGAGGGTAAATCCAGCTCCTGTTACTCCATTTGGGCTGGAAATGGAAATAATGCCTTTTTTTTTTTTTTTTTAACGGATTCTTAGTATTCTACTGTATGGGTGTGCCCCCTAAATAGATCAGTCCCCTATTGATAACCTGTTTTCATAAACAATGCTGCAGACTCTGAATACCTATTCCGGCAGCCCTTTGTAAAAGTCCATAGAGAAAACCTTACATATGGAATTTCTGGCTACAAGAGTTTGTACATTTACATTTTGGAGATATGGTTTACTGGCCCTGCAGCGTATAGTTTTACCATCAGCAATGGGCCACTGACGGGGTAGACTTTATACTTTAAGCTTCATAAAATGACTCATGTCCTTTACTTGTAGACCCAGCAATAGTTGGAGTGGATCACTTGTATTGTGTAGTGTTCCCGCTGTCCTTTATGAAGGGAATTAACATATTGCGGTGCCGGGGTACCTGGGTGGTTAAGTCGGGTAAGCGTCTGACTCTGGGTTGCGGCTCGGATCATGACCTCACGGTTTCGTGAGTCCAAGTCCCGTGTCTGGCTCCACACTGACAGTGGAGAACCTGCTGTGGATTCTCTCTCTCCCTCTGCCCCTCCCCCACCCCTGCATATACTCTCTCAAAGTAAATAAACTTTAAAAGTAACATTTTATGATGCCACTGGCAAATGCAGAGCTACTCAAAGCTTTGGAGACCTGCCCTTTAAGAATGTCAAAGTCTTGGGGCGCCTGGGTGGCTCAGTTAAGCCTCCAGCTTCAGTTCAGGTCATGATCTCACAGTTCGTGAGTTCGAGCCCCACACCGGGCTCTGTGCTGACAGCTCAGAGCCTGGAGCCTGCTTCGGATTCCATGTCTCCCTCTCTCTCTGCCCCTCTGCCACTCGCGCTCTGACTCTCAAAAATGAATAAACGTTAAAAAATTTAAAAAAAAAGGGGGCTCCTGGGTGGCTTAGTCGGTTGAGCGTCCGACTTTCGCTTAGGTCATGATCTCGCGGTTTGTGGGTTCGAGCCCCGCGTCGGGCTCTGTGCTGACTGCCAGCTCAGAGCCTGGAGCCTGTTTCAGTCTGTGACTCCCTCTCTCTCTGACCCTCCCCTGCTCACGCTGTCTCTCTCTCTCCTAGAAATAAATAAAACATTAAAAAAAATTTAAAAAAAAAGAATGTCAAAGTCTTTGTGTCCGGCTTAGTCTTGGGGACCAGAGGTTTCTCCAAAGGCCCTAAGTCATCCTAGTCAGCTGTCCCAGATTTTCTTTCCTTCATATCTTAGAGTGAGTACTTTCTATTTGCAGTTACTGACCTCTGTCTTCCTCTTCAACCAGGGCTCAGAGACAACAATGGGACTCCTTAAACGCAAAAAGCAGTCTTCCTTAACATCAGATGATGGAGCCTCCGCAAAGCACTCAAGTGCTGACCAGGCTGTGGATTCTTCCGGTAGGCGTGTTTCGGATGGGACCTTACCAGGAAGCAGTGCCGGAGGCTACCCCTCTGAAGGACCTAGCAGGAAACGAAGCAAAGGTGCCCCCGCCACTGCATCCCCTGGTAGAGAACAGCACCCAAAGGCCCGTGATGAAGCCAGCCCGGCCAAGTCCCATCAGCCATCTGTGTCCCACTTCAAACTAGAGTCGGATCGTCGCAGGACTCAAGAGCTACAGCCGCACAGCTTAGCACATCTAAGAAAAGATGAACGAGAGGCACACCCAGGTCTAGTTCAACAGGTCTTACCCTCAGCCACCGTGATCAGAGATCAGCCTCCTCACGTATACCCCGATCAGTATGGGGGTGTTCATGTTAGCCATGGTCAAATCTATCCAAGAACAGACCAACATGGATTAGGGCCCCTCGACATGGATCAACTTGAATTGCTCCATCGTCGTAGCACTTACCCACACAGTGTGGTACCGCTCAGTGTGGGGCAGCTTGGTGTGATGCCATCTGGAATGGATGAGCAGCAACTGGTACTACCTGGCATGGATCAGCATGGTATGGTCCCACCATTGGTACCTGGCAGAGATCAGCAAGGATTGGGACTACCCAGTACAGGTCAACCTGGGATGGCTCCATTTGGCACATATCAGCACGGTATGATACTTCCTGGCACAGGCCAACAGCCTGATGTGGCTCAGCATGGACTGGTACCTTTTCGTGTGGATCAGCAAGGACTGGCAGTGCCTGGCATGGATCAACGTGGATTGGTTCCACATCTCACAGATCAGCATGGTTTGATATCAACTGGTTTGATGCAAGGTGCCGCAGATCAGCGAGGTTTTGTACAGCCCACTTTGGAAACACCTGGTTTCATTCAACCTAGTACAGAACAGCATGATGCAACCCAAGCTGGGGCAGATCAACGTGGTTTGGTACCAGCTGGTACAGGTCAGATTGGTTTGGTGCAGCCTAGTACAGATCAGTCTGGTATGGTACAACCTGGTACAGCTCAGCGTGGTTTGATGCAGCCTATTGTAGATCAAAGTGGTTTGGTTCAGCCTGGTGCTTATCTCCCTGATTTGGAACAACCTGGTGCATATGCCAGTGGCTGGGTACATCCTGGTGCATATCCTCTTGGTTTGGCACACCCTGATGTTTATCCATCTGGTTTAGTACAGCTTGGTGCAGATCAGCCTGGTTTGATGCAATCTGGATTGGGTCAGCAAGACTCAGTCCAACTTGGAATGGATCAGTATGGTTTGAGGCAGCCTGGTACAGATCAGCGTGGTTTGGTCCAACTTGGAATGGATCAGCGTGGTTTGGCCCAACCTGGTGTAGCTCAGCCTGGTTTGGTGCAGCCTGGAATGGACCAGCGTGGTTTGGCCCAACCTGGTGCAGGTCAGCCTGGTTTGGTGCAGCCTGGAA